ACTGGTTAATTGTTCTGTCAGGAAGTTTCACCTTAGTTTTAGGTTGCTTCTCTCTTTTTTCAGTTTCCATCTTCTTGTTTTGCCTCCTGCTTCTTTGGAAAATATATCCCCCCCCCCACACACACACACTTCTTTGTTGCAGCCCCTCAAAAGCCTGTTTTGTGACCTGCCTATCACACTCTTGGGCAAAGCATGTGAGCCATTTCCTCCTTTCAGTGGTCCATGAAAGTACATCTATAGTATGTAGCTACAGATAATAAAGTTTTAAAAAGATGAACAACATTTTTACAGAACTATAGATGTGTTGAGGCCGGGTATGACAAGGAGTGGCTGGGAGGGGCTGGGCGAGGCACTCCCCGATGTTAGTGATGTCAAGTTGGCCATGCCCACCCAGCCACATGACCGCCAAGCCACGCCCACAGAACCAGTAGTAAAAAAACTTGAATTCTACCACTGTTCTTTCTCTGGGTTACTTCCCCTACTTTTTGTCATTCAAATCCAACATGGCTTAGATTGTTTATTTCTTTATTTTTGTTTTTCAGTTGCTGCCCCCTTAATTATAGAGTTACCCCTGGATGTATTTTCAATCAAACTAATTTGATCGCAGATGACAGGATTTAATTTGAACTAATGAAGAACTAATCAAATCCTCCTACAATGTCAAAATGTGCAATCCTATCCTAGGCATGTCACTTCTGAATCAATAGGATCAAGCTACAAAGAATTTTATTTTTAGAATGTATATTGAGGGGTGAGCTATTGTAAACAATGGAAACACAAATAGCAGTCTGTTACGCTTGCTGTTCTACACGCTAAAAGTTTCTGATTCCACCCCGCCCCGCCCCAATTTTTATCCCTGTCTTCATTAATCACTTGATGTACCTTTTATAATGTGATGTGCTTTATTGTTTATTTGCAATATTTTATGTTGCTTTTCATTAAAAGAATGTCATAGTGATTTGCAGACAAAATGGATAAAAGTAACTAAAATAAAACAAATATAGAAAACATGAAACATTAAAAACAGAAAACTGATTACAGTAAAGCACTATAATCAACAGTCGTTAGGTCAGATGACTTTCAAAGCGGGAGATCTGGGGAATATTAGGAGGCAACTCCCTAAATTATTAATGTTTATCAAAAGCTTGTAAAACTTTCATAAAGGGAACTGCAAAATTCCCACTGGAAGTATGTAGTTCAAGACAGTAAGGCATCATTAGAACATAATTATTCTATAGACCAGTGATGGTGAACCTTTTCGGTGCTGGGTGCCCAAAGTGTGCACATGCCCAAAACTCCAAACTGCAATGCAAGCGCCCTCATGCATGCGCCCTGCCCTCCGTGTATGCGCCCACTGCACATGAGCCCCACTCTTGCACAGGCACCCCACGCTCCATGCATGCACCTTGAACATGCACCCCCACCCACTGCACATGTGTGCATGTCCCCTGCATATGTGCGCCCCCTACCCATTTTTGGCTTCCAGGTTGATGCAGGAGGCTTTCCAGGCCCAAAATGGGGCACTGTGGGGCATTGTGTTGCGCCCCCGTGCCCCATTTTGGCTTCCGGGTCAGTGCAGGAGGCTTTCCAAGCCTAAAATGGGGCACGGGGTGCTCACTCAATGCCTCCATATCCCATTTTGGCTTCCAGGTTGGTGCATGAAACTTTCCGGACCCCAAACAAGGTGGGGGGGTGGAGGCACATGCACGCAAACCACCAAAATACAATGCATGCGCCCCTGTGCATGCACCCTGCCTCCCCCGCATGCATGACAGAGACATGAAGACCAGCTGGCCAGGAGGAGGCATGCACCAGTGGTGGGTTGCAGGTGGTATGCTCTGGTACAGGCGTACTAGAGCCTGCCCGGAGGTCCAGGTACCCTTCCAGTACAGTGCTCTGGAGGGTCCACACGCCTGCCCAAGCTCCTTACCAAGTTTTAAAGCTTTTGGCGTTTCCGCTCACACGCATGGCATGTACAGCATCTGCGCAATGCTCTGTCGAGCAGCTGGAGGATTGCAGAGGCTTGCAGAAGCGTCGTTTGAAGCTACAACGCATGCGCGTGCTGTGCACGTCCATGTGGGTGATGCTGGGGCCATTCCAACCGTACTGGTTGGAACGGAATCCGGAGCCCACCACTGGCATGTGCGCATGTGCAGTGGAGCTTGACTGGGGAGACAGATGGCGTGCCCACAGAGAGGACTCTGTGCAATCTGTGGCACGCATGCCATACGTTCACCATCACGGCTATAGACTATCAACTGCCATTTTATTTTAGAACACAAGAACCTACCTGGTGGTGATATTAAAATTAAAACTGGGCATTAGTTTGTGATTGCAGGAATATATTTTAATGCTAACATATTTCAAGAAATAAAATCAAATGACATTATTGCTTACAGGATGGAGACTTCAGACGATCCACAGATTAAAGTCCTTCTGCAGCCTTGGGCTTCAGTTTGTTTTTCTGAGTCTACCAGATTGATGGCTAAGGCTTGGTTTTGTGATTCTAGCTATATCTTGCTCCTCTCTGACCTCAATAATATGTGGTATGAAAGTGCAAATACTGAAGTAATACAACAGAGATCAAAGGTAAGTAAAAAATTAAAATTATGAAATGATCATTCAGCAGCCTCTTCTCCCCACCGGAGTTATTTGTTTAGTCTTCCATAAAATAGTTCATTTGCATTTAATGCTAATGGTTCAAAGAATGTCGGGCTGAATCATCGGTCTCACATATTTTCACCTCACCAAATCTGGCCCTCCTTGCAAAAAGTTTGGATACCCCTGCTTTAGTGGCTATTCAAAATGACAAAGGACACTGAAAAAAACGACTTATGACCAATTCTCACATTTACAACTGTCTCAGTATCCCCAAAGTCACATGATCAAAATTAGAGCTCTCGGTAACTGGCACATATTTATATGATGGCTTCCTTGGTCGCGTGATCACCATTTGAGACTTTCCCGGCCGGCTTCCAACTAGCAATGTCAATAAGGAAAGTTGGATTCACTTAATTATCTCATGATTCACTTAACAGCTGCAGAAATTGGGTGTGACTCATTCGCCTTGCTGAGCAATGTCAATTCTGATCCCAGTTCGGGTAATAAGTCGGGGGCTACCTCATTTCCAGTTTGATGCTTCCCAGATGTATTGGAATATAACTTGAAAAATTCACAGCCTGTATGAAATTGAATAGTAAAGTTTGTAATTTAGGACAGTGGTCCCCAACCTTTCTGGTTTGGTGCACCAGCGGAAAGGGAGTGGAGATGGTTCTGTGTGAGCAGCAGAGATGCTCAGTAGGACATACAGCTCCATTTGCATAAGCAATGTGTGCGCGCAACCTCTGCTTGCACAAATGGAAATTCACCCACAAGCGTGCGAGCCTGCCGTTTGCACAAGTGGAGCTGCTTGCACGCCACTTATGTGACCAAGTTCTGAATTGGTTAGGGTTGGGGACCCCTGGTTTAAGATATCCAACCAGGATGGGTGGGAGGGAGGGAGGGAGGGACGGGGGAAGCAGGAAAGAACCGATCAGTCCACTTCAGCAGGTATGCTATTAACCTAAGTTTAAAGGAAAATCCTAAGAAAAGGAATCTGCAGAGAAGTAATTCTGAATTACAAGAAGCAGATGCTATGTAAATTGTCCTCTTGTTTCTCCACTAGGAAAAAGTCATCCAGGTCATTTCATGTCTGAAATGAAATTATAAAATGAAACTAATGTGTTATTCCCAAAACAAACCAATTATTAAGAAAGATGTCCAATGTGTTCAAAAATCTAGTTTTTGAGAATTACTTCTATATTGATCAGAATATAATTTTTTGTAAAGCAAATGATTGAATCTGGCCTTCCAGTGATGTCTTAGTGTGGACTCTGAAGCTTCTGGACAATTTAGGTGCTTAAATACACAGCTATGAAATGACATTACATTTCATTCTTTGAATATTATTATTATTATTATTATACAATTGTATCACAGCGGCCAGTTGTTTCACTGGATTTGGCATTGGTTACTAGTCGGGCCCCACCCAGGGGCCT